GATGCAGGTTGATGAAGAATTTTGGAACATTTATGGTCGACATCATTATCTCATTTGGAAGTATGCTGTTTCTTTATGTGATATGATGATCATTGATTTTGATTTCATATCATGAGTGTGCATCGTTGTTATACTTTCCAGTACAGGCTTTGATGGCGTGAAATTACTTAGATCTGACCTAGATTTACATGGCCGATATCTTCAATGAAGCAAATAAAACGCTTATCTTTCCCTAATTTGGTTTGGTTTTGTAGACACTTGTGTAACTTTTTATTGTAAGCTGTATACTGGTTACTTGTGTGATATTCTATACCCTATATGTTTGTCTACTGGTGTAATACCGCACAGTGAAATACTGCAGTGATATGTTTGTATCGCATGGTGTGTACTCGTATGGAATTTCATACTACCCCGTTGTATGTTGTATATGTATGTGTTGTTTTGTACTGTATGGTTGTATACTTATATGATCATAGTTCAAAGTTTTATATTGGTATGCGGATATTTCTCCAGTGTAAAACAAAACAAAATTAACTACACGCTAAAAGTAGGTCGTATTGAAACGTATTAAGACTAGCAAGATTGTAGAAATTTTGATAATATGGATTTCGTTGATTTATAAGTGACAAAACTGATACAAAGATCTCGTATATCATACAACATTGTATACAAAATAGGGCCAGGTGACAATCCTACTAATTCGCAGACGTAAACAATGTTCTATTTACGTTCCTTCTCCTGAATATTAAGCCTCGCGTCTCCATTTGGACGGCAATAACAGACGGCATACTGGTTCCGAGGATGACACAGTGTTCCCGTTATTGGTATTGCTCAAACGATCCCAGCAGCAGAGTCATCTCCAAAGGAGAATTAAAACAAGTACAAGCCGGTACACAAGTAGTATAGCGATGTTCTCTATAAACATAGCGGTGTTTAGGAAGCACGTCATTATTTTAGAGACCCGTACAGTTATGCGTACAGAGTATATTGTGTGAAATCCCCTGTTTATGGGTTTTACCAAGTGCTGAATATGTTTGCCGGTACCAGTGGAGCTCTAAATTAGTGAAAATCGATTACAGGGTCTCCTAGAACTGAAACTGTAGAAAGCCCACAGTCTGGTCCTGCCTTAAAAGCACAGGTATTGATAGACTTGGAGACAAAGTGGACGTTCACGTGCTCCGAACACAAAGGTAAGTCCACCAGGATCGCTTAGGCATATTACTTGGTGTGACGTCGCCACATTATTAGGAAAATGTGATTTATCAGGGCTAACCTGTTAATTCCCCCGAGGCTTTTTTTTTTTAAATTGGCCATTGGAATTAGAATCCTTATCAGCTGGTCCGGTAGCCTAAACTTTACAGGAGGCTCACAATCTGCAGCATTGTTTATGGCTTTACCGTTATTTTCATTGCGACGTTATGTCTGTAACCTTGATGATGAGGTATAGCAACCGTTATGGGAATTTATATTTTTTGATTGGGTATAATTCATCCACGAATTGATGACCTTGTTTAAATATGGGATCAATTTTATTTTGATTAAATACTATTATTTCTTTTCAAATGAAATGTTTTAGTTGCGAACAATGGGATATGACTGCATTGCCCCAGCACACTCAACAATTGTCGCAAAGGCATAACAGTTCAATACATGTATCGCACTTCACAGTCAATGTCAAAAATTATATAAACATTTTGTCACATAATCTGGAGTCGGTATGCTTCGTGTTTCGTTGCAACAAGAAGCTTAAAAAATTATCTATTCAGCTGTGACGTCCAGGCGTTTATATACGTACAGTTGTCAGCTGTGAGGTATGGGCGTTTATACACGTACAGTTGTCAGCTGCGACGTCCGTGTGTGTATACTCGTAATGTTGTCAGTTGTGACGTCCGGATGTTTATACACGTACATGGGTCAGCTGTGACGACCGGGCGTTTATTCACCTACAGTTGTCATTTTTTACGTCCGGACGTTAATTCACGTACTTTTGTCAGCTTTGGCATCCGGTTGTTAATACGTACAGTTGTCAGCTGTGACGTCCGGAGGTTTACATGCACAGTTATAAGCTGTGCCGTCCTGGTGTTTATACACGTACGGTCGCATCTGTGACGTCTGGACGTTTACATGCACAGTTATAAGCTGTGACGTCCTGGTCTTTATACACGTACGGTTGTCAGATGTGACTTCTTGGCGTTTATACACGTACTGTTGTCAGCTGTGACATCCGGGCGTTTATACACGTGCAGTTGTCAGTTGTGAAGCCCGGACGTTTATACACATGCAGTTGTCAGCTGTGAGGTACACATCTGTTTACTATGTCAGTTAGATGCCTGCTTACATTGCTGGTGATTGGCTAACATTATTTGTTTTCAAATGTTGTTGTTAAATATTTTTTCACGAGATCTGGAACATAGTCACGTGATACATTGTAACCGTCACGTCATCAGTCACTAACATCATGCTTTTAGGAGCAAGCGCTTGGATATCTCATCACTGCGACATATAAACACCGTAGTTTGCGAAAGTAGGTTTGTTAACGACCCGAAAATCGAATACAACTTAGTAGGTGTAACTGTTGGTCATGTCGTTAGTAAAGATCCCGGAAAGCGGACGATACAGCAAAGTGTGTAGTGTCCGTGATTTCAAGTCCAGGAGAGTATATAGATCGATATGGACAATACAGGTATCGCTACAGTATGTAAAGACAACTCACCGTCAATAATATGAAAGTGAAATAGAAGAACTTGTCGTGATTTTCGCACCAGTCCTCATATGCTCTTTAATAAATCCAACCTCATATGATAATAAAAATAAGTAAAATAATATATAAGTGATTCTTACATTGTTGGTTACATTTGATGTAATCCCAGCTTATACAGAAAAGTTTCCAGAAAACGTACACATAAGCTAGAGACATATTTCAACAAAAGGAATAAGCATATTTTCCTACCATACAAGGTTTTTATTCGTAAAAGAAATAGAGATTTTTTCCCGTTTAACTAATAAAAGTTATATAAAATTATTAACGACGTAACATCAACTTCAGCTGATTTATGTCAGTTTGCCGTTTGTTGACATTCCATTCTGTTAGTCTGAACATAAGGAGAAAGAACGCTGCTGACAAACTAAATTTTTTGGGAATCCAACATGTTCTAACAGAGCGACGCCTACGGTTTCTCTATGCGCCTATTAACATCATTTCTTTGGGACCGGTAAAGTAAATGCGTTCCTTTTAATCTAGTAAAATGTCAGAAAATAAATGAAACCCGAGGCGTCATTTAGATGCGGGATATGTCGCTCCGGGAAGACACTAGTGTTATTAGGAGTGCTAATGGATAACGTGGTCGGCCATCAATTGGAGCCAGTATTTCCCGCGAATATGGTGATCGATGGTGAAACGTTTTTTATGCCTAATTAGTTATTACTGTCGCAAATAGAGGGATGCTATAATTAGTATAATTTTAATGCAAAACTTATCTTCAATAAGTTTAGTCACTTTTGGTATACCATCTTTAGCATTTATAGTCACCAACACCCTGCATACCTATGTACCAGTAATACTGGTGGGAGTTAGCCCCGTCCTGATGTAGTCTTCAAAACTTCAAATCTCCGTCATATAAATAAGTTATTTACTGTTTAAAATAATACTTGGTATTGCCTGTAAATAACACTTATGTGATCATGTATTCACTAGGCGCTTTACCGGTCCCACCGTCATGTTAAGTTACCCTTAAGAGTGTATTACCCTATATATATAATCTCCCGCAGGCCGATTTAGACCTGTGGAAACGCCAGTCTGTCTGACGTGATAGCGGTTGCCGACCTGCGGGACAACCGCACTGAGAATGATGCTAGGCTGTTTGTTTCGTGTAGATCGAGTTATATTTGAGAACATGTGGACTTGAGGGACCCCCGCCGTCAGGCACAATAATTGTAACAACAATGAATTGTATGAAAGCTGGTCAGTTAGGTCAGTTTTGAAGACACGGATGCTATTTGTACAAGGTGATCTCAGGAATTGTGTAGATGCGTACCGTATTCAAATAATGGATAAAAAAAGCCTGAATACAAAGTTAGTTTTAAAATATCGGAAAAATCCTTAAATATGATAAATCTTATGCAGAAGGAAAACTCTTAAAAACAATTTGAAGTTATATGAAGCATTAGTATTCATTTTTATATGCATCTAACATAATGAATAGAAATATGACAGGGGGTATCATTGGCCAAAACAAAACAAAATGTCAATACTTTACCATTTTAATTACGCAACTATTATATTTGACCGATTTGTGTTTAAAATGATACCCTACCAATAATATATTAACCCTTTTTGCGTTAATAAGGTTACTAAGATATCTGATAATTTTCCTTATGTATATACCTGTTTTACACCAGTTCAAGTAGTCATCAGAATCATTTTTTAAGGTTGTTTATTATACTTTATTTTGGGTCTTTGATACCAGAGACATGGGGAAATAACTCATTAATATGTTACCAAATAACAATAACTTGGTCGGCAATTATTCCTTATAGTCGCATATACTGGTCTGCCAAATATACGTAGTATCAGAAAAGGAACACCTAATACAATTATTGACTATTTTGCCCTAAAAATAACCTAATCAACACTCTCTTTTTTGTCTGGAAGTTTATTTTCAATGTATCACCATGACTCAAATTCTTGTTTTCTCTCTCGACTTCTTTTAATAAGTGCCCCCTTATTTCGTATTAATAATGATTAATTCCTCACGTAGACAAACGAAATTGATCACCCACATGTAAACACAGACGATATTGCTCTCACATGCACACAGTGAATACTGCCCTCACGACACATGGCGGTATTGCCCTCACACATTACATAATACTATTTTTAAATCACGAAAATCGATTTCGAAACAGGTGCTGACTAACAGCTTTATTGGAATGTGCGGGACCTGTCAGCCTGACAGCTTCAACTGGACTTGTTATAGTGGACAAGTCAGTATCATCGCCACGAGCGGGTCTAACAGCTTCACATCACATCAGACTGTCTCTCTACCCGACAGCGGCTATTGGGACTGAAGGAGGACTGTCACAGTCTAGAGTCACCCTAGATCAGCGTCTTTTGAGCCTCGAGGGAGACTGTCACGGCCTAGAGTGTGCCAGAGTGTATATCTACCCGACAGCTGCTATTGGGACTCGGGGGAGACTGTCACGGCCTAGAGAGTACCCGAGTGTATATCTACCCGACAACGTCTATTGGGACTCGGGGGAGACTGTCACGGCCTAGAGAGTACCCGAGTGGAAATCCACCCGTCAGCATATTTTGAGCCTCGAGGGAGACTGTCAAAGTCTGGAGATAGAATGGAGTACGGGTTGCATTGTGAGTCTGTCTCCTGCTCTAAGGGGTTGATCGTCCTGTTGCTGATGCTCATGCACGGAGGGTCGAGGGCAACAAGGTAGGTAACTATCACCTTACTAAATGTATTGTTAACAGGTCTGTACTGTAACAACAACACTGTTATAAAGTGTCTTTGATTAGTCTTACCGTTGCTTACCATTTATTAGGTATAGGCCTAGGGCATAATAGGCATCAGTACGTGTGGCGATGTCAAGTTTAAAGTGGTCGGGGATACCTGTTTGCTTTACATGCCATGTAAAGATTCTTCTGTCATTTTCAAATCAAATCGGGATTTTGATTCACTCTTTGGTCATCGGTAATAATGGAATACTATCGAAGGAGGGGTGATATGTGTTGGATAGAGGATATGGTCATTTGTTATGTCTTGGTTTACAAATGATAATAAATGCAAAATGTAGATTTATTTATGTACATGGCTGTCATATAGTGTATTTATCAAGGTTTTCAAATGAAATAAGACAGATAGGTCAGTAATTATTAAAACATGACAATAAAATATAAATGAAGCTGACCCATTAAATACAGGCAAGTGTTTAGAGAAAACCTTAAAACAATAACGTCTTTTCTCTTTTCTTTACCATTTTGATAAATAGATACATCGTGAAGCAAGATGACGTAAATTTGTTATTGTCGGTATTATTGCATTTTTCTAACAAAAAAAGAAATTGGAGGAAAGATAGAATGGGAGGGAGGAAGATAGATTGTCCTGCTCTATGACTGTTGTTCTCTTGATATTCTGACACGTATATTCTATGGGTATTAGGTATATTGTACATTGCTCCTACTTACATGGCAATTCGTAGATTTGATATTACACTCTTTTGTTTTTGCAGAGAAGAATTCATTCAAGCACTTCTAATCGACTATGATAGTAGAATACAGCCGAATTTTGAAAACGGTGAGTACGGGCCTTTTTCATCTTTTAAGTAGACTTATGTATGCAGAACTGAACTATTCTCGTTTATCACATGTTTCTATTAAGAACTGATCTTATTTCTGCATATCACATTGTTTAAGAAATATTATTTTACAGAATTTACATAACCTCAACATGAAATATTCCTGAACAGAACAGATCTTACCTCGATCATGAAGGATTTCTACGAATTCAACCTTGTTAACAAAAATAATGGAGCTTATTTTATTTAGTTTATAAAAAAATACATTATCATTAGAACTGATCTCACCTAGTAAATGAAATAAATTTCTATTGATTAAATTTGTTAATAAAATATTCCTATACAGAACTTATCTCGCCCCATTATTGAAGTATTTTTACTGATTTAACCTGTTAAATAAACTTAAAAGCGTACTGAACTTATTTGGCCTCGTTCATAAAAACAACTATATAGAACTGATCTTACCTCGTTAAGATGATATATGTCGAATTACCCTTGCTTTAAGTTAATAAAGAAATGTTATCATTTGATTTCGAATCAAATGATGTAAATCGTATTCAACCTCAGAAATGCAATTTTCCCTAAACAAAACGGGTTTATCCTCGAAGATATCATATTCATATACAAAAAAAGCTCTAACTACGGTAATGTTTATTTCCTATGCCGAAACGATTAAGCCTCTTAAAAAAGTATTTCTATACAGTATACAGAACAAAGGGAAAACTTACATTGACACTCACGATAAAGTGATGCTGTGAAAACCCTACGTTGTAGACGTAGGGATGTGTAACTACCAATTAAGGAAAGATCAGGATCAAAACTCGCCAGCGTAACGATTAACATCTAGTTAAGGGGTAGACCGTCCATGTTGTAACTAGAGATAGGATAAAGCGGCTGATGAAAAAGAATACGTGGTGTCTTTGATTTCAGGTTCAACGGAGTATATACGATCAACATGGTTAATACATGTATTATCATAGAAATATTTATATACATGTCTGTTTTCATCCTGTTAATGCAGTATTTTTTAATGTAACATTTTACTATTTTGATCTCGTTACTAAAATATTTGAAATATTCAAAATATCACTGATTTCACGTCGCTATTAACATGTGGTATACAGCACTAATTAAGCTTCGCTCATTGCTAAAACATGATTATAATTTTGTCCAATTAGAGATGAAGAACTATTCAAATAATTATTAATTGGATTGAGACATCTAAAAAAATCACATTTGACTGACATTGTTAATTAAAGCTTCCTGGTTATCTGACAAGCCAGTGTCAGTGTATGAGGTTGTTTGCTGTCTAAGGGCCACTGCTCCAGCTACAGCGGCGTACTAGTAGGGCGTCTATCCTTACCATGTAAAAGTGTAATGTCGGAAGTCACATGTCCTTGCCGTAGCGTTGTGTTAAGCCTGGAGGACAAACGTGCTCATCAAAGCAAAGCGTAAAGTCATACTTAAGCGTAACTGTTTGAACAGGCCTTGATTCCACCGCTGTACACTTTATGCACTGCCGTATGGTATTACTCCTATTCCAACACCTCGCGGTTATGTCACGTCTTCTTTCCGCCTTAGTTCCATACGGTACACCAAATTTATGTTATATCATTGTTTATCTCTAAAATGTGAGTTGTATTGTAATTCTTCTTTGGTTCGCCGTTTGTTTGAAGTAAAGTATGAAGTTCAATTGTATTACGCAGTTATCACTCTTGTACAGTGGGCTGATGTATTCAAGATCATATATCGTATTGTCTTAACGAGGAATTTCCATTTATCGCTACCGTGTAGGTTTAGTTTCGTATTGTCGTGTGGAGTTTTCAAATACACACTCTAAAAATTCGTTCTTCTGAGATGATCTCCCCTTACCAGGTCACCCATTAATAGTATATGGGAATACATTTCTCTTTGTTTATAGAGTAACATGGTGTAACCCCCTTGTTATCTTCTGTCCACTGTCTGATCTGTTGATCAAACCTATCAGGAATCTGTCACTGACATTAATTTGTATTTCTTTGAAAAAATAGTTTTTCAGACATTCAGTTTATATAGTTACCTCTTTTGCTGAGGGTCTCTTACCCGAATTCCTCAGCATTCGACGCCCTTCATCATTTTCGACATCTTTTAAACAAAAAAATGAATCTCCTTACCTCATCAATGGTAAATTTAGATGGCAACGTTCAACTTCAGAAATGCAAATTACGTGCAACGCATTGTCGTTGGCTCTCACTACAGATCAAAGATTTTAGAAGCAATTCAATTTGTCACATTTGGTAAATTTATCTACAGTATGCAAGGTTCTATTAATCTTTTGTTTTCTTTGGAGTTGCTTATTCTTTCTTCTGTCACCTTTCTGGTAAATGTATTCCCAAGCGCCTTTTACCTCTGCCCATAACATTTTATCAACTGCATTTAGGTTTTTTATGTCTTCGAATAAGGTCCTTTTTACAGCAACGTTGCCAATAATAGCGATCATTGGCCAATCCTTTCCCTGTCCCTGTATGGCCTCTTCGTTAAATTTCCTCAGCCTTACGGAGTCCCTCAATCATTTCAATGCCATTTTGAGATTTTGTCAATGCCAAATACTTCCAAGGGACGACAACCGATTGCTTGCAGCATGAGATGTCTCACAGGGGCTTAAACACGTTGCTGGAAATGCTCGTTCAGCTGCTCCCGTGCAATAGTGGCACATTTTGTCTAATCATTATTTAGATATTTTGCAGTCGGAATTGTGTAGTAAGTGTCCTGGGCATCAATGTTAGCAATGTAGCAGCAGGGCTTGTTTTAGGAGCATCGTTAATTCCCTTCCTACCCGCGTGAAATTCCAATATTTTTCCACCTACACGCTGCACGTGTTTGAAATCCGTGGAAGTCAACGTATCTAAAATTACTAAAGTCACGCAAATGTCTCATCGCTATCTATACGAACAGGTTCATTGTTCTGTCCTCGTAGTCAAAGCGCTGTTTCGATATAGCCCTAAACGTTTAAACCCCAATCACGTTAGGCATCTATTTCCTTTTCTCTCTGTTAATTTTCAATGCGTATGAATAGTATACAGCTGCTTCCAGTAAAGGGGCGATGACTACAAATGTAGTTACATTACGTAAGCAATAACTATACACATTATGTATGTATTTGTACACCATACTGATTTCATGTTCAACAGGATTTTGGTTATGAAGTGGGAAACGTAGATTATTGTTTGACTGTTTTCATGAAATTATACGTTACTATCCACAAAATATAAATTGTGATTTAATACCTTAACAATGATGCCCAAGCATTTACATTTGAGTTCAAGAATATGCCAATTCTATTAAATAGTTTTACATTCTTATTTGATATTCTCTCTTTCCAAATACTTTTTTACTAACATTCGTATTCATATTCAAGATTGTTGTTTATTTTTTATTCTATTTTTTTAGCGGATGCTTTTGATTTATTCACGACATTGAAAGTATTAGTAATACCATGAATATTATGGAAAATCTAAGTATAAAACGGTATTGACCGAAAAAGCCCCTGTATAACGAGCCAGGTGTGTGAATCTGTGTAACCTAATACAGCCCGAGAGATCCCGGTGTATGCATACATGCACGTATAGACCGGAATAGTCCCAGAGAACCCAATTTGGTTTGGTAATCTGTATAAATCTGTTGAACCCCGAAAACAAGGAGGATTTAGCAACCTGTATGAAAAACGTACAGCCAATAAAGAGATGTGAATTATGTAAAGAACTATAATCTCGCTTGATAACTAAGGAATTTTACGTATACATTTTTCCAATTAAAAAACAAAAACAAGTTTGGTCTTCTTCTGGCCGATTCATTGATGTTCTTCACGACTGGTAACAAAAGCGTTTCCAAGACCTTAAACCGATAATGTACGGTGCATTTAATAACAAGACATTTAATGACCACGTCGATCATATATTCTCTACTGAGCTACTTCAGACTCTTCTTCAGCCGTTACATACAAGACAAATAGGAACGGTGTACTACTAAACTGAACAATACGAATGATGATTTTGATTTTTTTTCAACAGTGAACTTTCCCTTTCTTGATAGTAAAATAACTTCCTAAATCTGCAGCATTTTAGTGCCACAGTTGATTCGATGCTCATGGGCTTGCCCCGAATCTCATCAATGATAGATGTCAACAGCTGACGAACAAATAGAAAGTGTTTCGAAAGGAGTAAGTTGATGAAATCTTTGGCATGTTTATGTTCGCCATTATGATCATTTATTCATGGCGACAAATGGACCCATTAGGGTAATTCGGTAACAATAGTGGTTTACCGACAATTGTAATCTGCATTCTTGGCATGAGTGTACCCCGGGTTATACTAGCATTTGCAAATTTTGTTTTACACAGTTATGACTTCACAATTTTTGTTATACTACAGACTCTTCGACGTCATCCGCTTTCGATTCTAACTCACAACAATATAAATAAGAATGGTTCATTGATATATTGTAAGCTGTTTGATAAGCCGGACGATTTCGATGCTCTTAGTACAAGCACGTTTTCCCTACACGACGTTGTTTACAATTCGATATTTATGAATTTCATCCAAATATAACCGATGCTCTTCTTTGTAAATGTCGAATGCTGACGGACAAACATAAGATACAAGGTTTTTAGATATGACGACGGCTAATGACAAGTATTAGAGCCGCTATCATGATAACATTGATAACCGTTCTATTTCTTCATCCAATGAATATATCGATGTTTTTTTCAATTGTCTATTGTTGTGCCCAGTGGTTTAGGTATCACTACCATTTTTTTTTTCATTTTGTGAACGTAAATAACTTTGATTTGACCTAGATGTGACCTCAATGTTCATGGCCGGTGTCCTCGATGAAACAGGAGACAATTATCCATCATGAATATCTGTTTTTTTATCTTCAGGTACCTTTTTCCAGTGGTCTCCATGTAAATCTATAACTTATTCCTAATTAGCCCTTGTATTATCGATTTCTTCACTTTAGA